AGAAAGAAAGAAAGAAAGAAAGAAAGAAAGAAAGAAAGAAAGAAAGAAAGAAAGAAAGAAAGAAAGAAAAGAAAGAAAGAAAAGAAAGAAAGAAAAGAAAGGATTGAACCTGCAATCCGGGTACATTCCCTTGACTGGGAATCAAACCCGTGACCTTTCAGTGAACGGGCCGATGCTCTAACCACTGAGCAACACCGGCCAGGGCTATAACAATTTTTAAATTTGGCTGTTGAACAAATGGATGGCAAACACCCTGAACATGTCCAGTTGGCTGTCCTGAGGGGTGGGAGCCAGTGGAGCCCAGCACTGAGGACCTTTGCACAAGGTGTGACTGTCCGAGGGGCTGGGGGCTGATCCGTGTTGGTGGGTCTCTGTTCTCCCCAGGCGGATGTTCCCATTCCTGTCATTTACTGTGGCTGGGTTGGAGCCCACCAGTCATTACCGGATGTTTGTGGACGTGGTCTTGGTGGACCAGCACCACTGGCGGTACCAGAGCGGCAAGTGGGTGCAGTGTGGAAAGGCCGAGGGCAGCATGCCAGGTATGCGCCCGCTTGGGAGGAGCGGGCACGCTTTTTCTCCAAGATTGGGCGCCCCCTTGTGGATCCAAGGGGAACCCCCAAGTGCCTGCACCTGACACCTAGGATTTAGTTCCCCATCACACCATGCCCCACCCCTCCTACTTCTCGATTCCTTTCTGTCATCACTTTTCTGCCTTGCTCTGGCCTGTCTTCTGCTCTGTCCTCTGCCCACACCTCCCCTTGCCCTGCCTGTGTGCTCCTCCCCCTGCATCCTTTCTGATATCCCCTCAGGACAGGCAAAGAAGGCCCCCTCACTGTGGGTCTGGCCCTGGGGGCTGCATGCCAAACGTTAACTGTCCACAGGAAACCGCCTGTACGTGCACCCAGATTCCCCCAACACTGGAGCCCACTGGATGCGCCAGGAAGTTTCATTTGGGAAACTAAAGCTCACGAACAACAAAGGGGCCTCCAACAATGCGACTCAGGTAGGACCCCTTCCTGGGGGCTAGCCCCCTCGCCCCCCGGTCCGGAGCCCACAGGGGTGCCCTGCAAGCTGATACTGCTTTATAAGAATCATTTTTCTTCCTCTCTGTTTTTTTCCACCCACCTTGAGGGGAAGATGAGGTGGGAAGAAGCTGAATCTCAGGGCAGACAGTGTCACATTCAGGCTGACACAGGTCAAGCCAGTCTGGGGGTTTCTCCGCCAAATCCCAGGCTGTCATCGCTTGGGTAATATGCTAGGCGTAGAGTTGGTACCTGTGGTCCCAGGGAATGGATGTTCTGAAAAGCCCTGTTTGTGCTAATACCTTGGTCACAGTAGACATCTGGGGATAGGAAATGGGGCAAGAGGGTAGAACTGGTGCCTCCAAGGGACGAGTTGGAAGGCCTGGGGAAAGTTGCATGGTGTCAGGGCAGGGGAATGGATATGATGACCTCAGGGTGGGGGGAATCTTTCAGACTCCCTCCTTCCCACCTCCACAACCTTCTTGCTCTCTCTCAGATGATTGTGCTCCAGTCCCTCCATAAGTACCAGCCCCGGCTGCACATTGTCGAGGTGAATGATGGGGAGCCAGAGGCGGCCTGTGATGCTTCCAACACGCATATCTTCACTTTCCAAGAAACCCAGTTTATTGCCGTCACCGCCTACCAGAATGCCGAGGTGGGGGCTGCCCCAGCAACCAAGTGTGGGCCTGAGCCTGGGAGGGGGAGGACAGAGAGAGTGGGGCCCCCAGTCTCCCTTGGGAGAGATTTTGGAAGTTTCCTAGCCCCACGATCAGGACTCAGGACACTCTGTTTCCCCTCTCTCTAGATTACTCAGCTGAAAATTGATAATAACCCTTTTGCCAAAGGATTCCGGGAGAACTTTGAGTCGTAAGTGCCACTGGTTTTAACTCATCTTCAAAGAGGCCTCCTCTTGGTCCCTCCTGAGACGGGGACCCCAGACATGTACTCAGCATATTTCCCTCTGCCCCTGAGAATGGAAGAGACTGGGATAGGTGCTGGAGGGCTGGTGGGCCAGGGAAGAAGGGTCTGGGAGGGATGTGGAACAGGCAGGCTCATAGGTGACCAGCACCGCTCCTGACCCCTGTCTTCTTGCCTCCTATTTTTTTAGCATGTATACATCTGTTGACACCAGTGTCCCCTCCCCGCCTGGACCCAACTGTCAATTGCTTGGGGGAGACCACTACTCTTCGCTCCTACCCAACCAGTATCCCGTTCCCAGCCGTTTCTACCCCGACCTTCCTGGCCAGGCCAAGGATGTGGTTCCCCAGCCTTACTGGCTGGGGGCCCCCCGGGACCACAGCTACGAGACCGAATTTCGAGCAGTCAGCATGAAGCCTGCATTCTTGCCCTCGGCCCCTGGGCCCACCATGTCCTACTACAGAGGCCAGGAGGTCCTGGCACCTGCAGCTGGCTGGCCTGTGGCCCCCCAGTACCCTCCCAAGATGGGACCAGCCAGCTGGTTCCGCCCCATGCGGACTCTGCCCATGGAACCTGGTCCTGGTGCTTCAGAGGGGCGAGGGCTAGAGGACCAGGGCTTCACCTCGCTGTGGACTGAGATCACCCCCATCCGGCCAGAGTCGGGCGATTCAGGACTGGGCGAAGGAGACTCTAAGAAGAGACGTGTGTCCCCCTATCCTTCCAGTGGCGACAGCTCCTCCCCTGCTGGGGCCCCCTCTCCTTTTGATAAGGAAACTGAAGGCCAGTTTTATAACTATTTTCCTAATTAAGCAAATGACTCGGTGAAAGGAACAGAAAGAGTGTTATAGGTTGGAGGACACCAACTAACATAGGCCACAGACTCAGGACTGAGTGGCCCCCAACTCCCTCTGATCCTTCACCTTTTGTAGTTGGTATGGAAAGAGGGGGGTCAAAAAGGATTCTGGGGTTCATTGGCTGCTTCTTGGACCGTGGTGAAACCGAAAAGGAGTGTTCCCTCCCCTTCCTGTGCCCTGACTACAGTCTTTTACCTGGTGCTGCTTCTGGCTGTGGGGTCCCAGCTGGAGAAGAGAAAACAGAACTAGAAGGTCTTGGATACAAAGGAGCATCCTGTTTTCTGGGGGGTGGGTCAGGGGTTCAGGTGTAGAAGTGGAGGCTCAGTTCTCTTCCTCTGTAGAGGAACTTTCAGCATTTTTATTTGTGTGTGTTAATCCCTGATCTGAAAATAAAGGTACATAGATTTTATAACAGTGAGCCAGCCAGGATCAGGGAGAGGACTCAGGTGATTTGGGGCAGCTGGCCTGGGCCCGTCCACTCAGAGACAGCCCATCCCGCGGGAGGGACTGGGAATGGAGGGGGGGTGCCCGTCTCAAGATACAAGGACTTGGGGAGGGTTGGTTATGTGTGTGCGCTCGCGCTTTTTTCTTTTTTATTTTCTTGAACAAGGCGGCTATTTATTGTACAGAGAGTGATGTCTGGATACATTTCTCTTGTCTTCATCACTTTCTGAAAATAAACATGAAACTGTCAAGTGTATCCTGCTCTGGTGCCGGGTGGGGGACATGGGGACTGCACTGGGAACTGCAAATGCATCGAAGTTGTTCTGTGGGCTCGGGAACTGAACCCCAACGTCTGAAGAACCTGTACCCCCTGGAAACCCGAAGTGGCTTCATTCAGGGAGTAAACTGAGTTAGAGCAAGAACATGTCCCACCTTCAGTGCTCAGATTGATGGTGGAAGCCACCTCGTAAGGCGACTTGAGACAGAACCATCCCTCTGCCTGTGTGTGTGTGTATCCTGACCTGTGGAGGAGGGGTGTGAGGTCAAGGCCAGAGGACAGGACTGGGGTGGGGGTCGGGGGTCTGAGGGGAAGGATGGCCTTAATTTTTTTCTTTTTTGCATTTGTAGCAACTTTGGTTCTCCATCTTCATCTTAGGGTAGTTTAAGGATTAAAGGAGTAAATGTAAGTTGGACCACATGAAGCCACTGTTTTTGTAGGTCAAGAACAGCCAAATATTGACAACTTCATATGATTCAACCTAATACATGTAAAAGGTTTCAAACAGTGTCTGATAAATAATAAGCACTAAGTACCTAAATTATTGTTGTTGTTACTACTAATTCTCTAGCTCTGTTTCTCTCTCTCTTTACACACAAATGAATTGTGTTTGATAGATGCTTCTTTTAAAGAATTTAAGCATTGCAGAAAAGCATAAGAACAGCAATAAATTATCCCAAATCTTACTGCCCATCAATAATTATCATTAACATTAGGTAGGTTAGAAAGATAGAAATACTTTTATAAAATTGGAATCATACTGAAAATGCCCTTTTTTTTAAGTGCAACTTATTTATTTTTTAAATGTGTCTTTATTGATTTCAGAGAGAGGAAGGGAGAGGGAGAGAGAGCGATAGAAACATCAATGCTGAGAGAGAGTCATTGATTGGCTGCCTCTTGCACGCCTCCTACTGGGGATCCAGCCCGAAACCTGGGCGTGCGCCCTGACTGGGAATCAAACCAGCGACCTCTCAGTGCATGGGTCCACGCTCAACTACTGAGCCACACCGGTTGGGCTGAAAATGCTTTTTTTAATCAACACTTAATACTACCGAATTTTATTATTATTTTTTTAAATGTATCTTTATTGCTGAGAGTATTACAGGTGTCCCATTTTTCCCCGCAATTGACCCCCTCCACTTCGCTCCCACCCCCTCCCCAGGCCTTCACCCCGTTATTGACTGTGTCCATGGGTTATGCATATATGCATATAACTTCTTTGGTTAATCTCTTCCCACCCTCCACCCCCCTTCCCTCTTTCCTCTGAAATATGATCGTCTGTTGCATGCGTCAATGTCTCTGGATCTATTTAGTTCATCAGATTCTTTTGTTCATTAGCTTCTTCTTAAAGAAGACCCTTCAACATTTCCTGTAGTGCTGGTCTGGTGGTGATGAACTCCTTTAGCTTTTCCTTATCTGTGAAGCTCTTTATCTGACCTTCAATTCTAAATGATAGCTTTGCTGGGTAGAGCAATCTTGGTTGTAGTTCCATGTTTTTCATCACTTTGAATATTTCTTGCCACTCCCTTCTGGCCTGCAAGGTTTCTGTTGAGAAATCAGCTGACAGTCGTATGGGTGCTCCCTTGTAGGTAACTAACTGCTTTTCTCTTGCTGCTTTTAAGATTCTCTCTTTGTCTTTAACCTCTGGCGTTTTAATTATGAGTTGTCTTGCTGTGGGACTCTTTGGGTTCCTCTTGTTTGGGACCCTCTGTGCTTCCTGGACTTGTCAGCCTATTTTTTTCCCCAGGTAGGAGAAGTTTTCTGTCATTATTTTTTCAAATAGGTTTTCAATTTCTTGCTCTCTTACTTCTCCTTCTGGCACCCCAATAATACGAATGTTGGGCCTCTTGAAGTTGTCCCAGAGGCTTCTTATACTATCTTCCTATTTCTGGATTCTTTTTTCTTTTTGCTCTTCTGGTTGGGTGTTTTTTGTTTCCTCATGTTCCAAATTGCTGATTTGATTCTCAGCGTCCTCTACTCTACTGTTGATTCCCTGTAAATTATTCTTCATTTCAGTTCCTGTAGCCTTCATTTCAAATCGGTACTTTATTATGTTACGTATTTTCTCAGTTATTTCCCTAATAGTATGCTTAAACATCCTTATAAACAAAATTCTGAACTCTGTATCTGTTAGCTTGCTTGGATCTATTTCATTTAGTTCCTCTTCTAGAGATTTCTTCTGTTCTTTCCTTTGTGACATGTTTCTTTGCCTCCACATTTTGGCTGCTTCCAGGTGTTTGTTTCTATGTATTAGGTAGAGCTGCTATGTCTCCTGGAATTTGTAGAGTGGCTTTGTGTAGTAGGTGTCCTGTAGGGTCCAGTGGCTCAGCCTCCCCAGTCACCTGAGCTGGGCCTTCTAGGTGCTCCCCTGTGTGGGCTGTGTGCACTGTCCTGTTGAAGTTGAGCCTTGGTTGCTGTTGACATCACTGGGAGGAATTGACCCCCAGACCAATCAGCTGTGAGCACTAGCTGCAACTACAGCCAAAGAGCTGCTGTGCTGGAGACACTCCTTTGGAGCAGGATTTACTTCAGTGAGGCTTTGTTGTTCACCAAGTGCACCCCTTGAGTGTCACTCGTGGATGTGGTAGGGTTTTAATCCAGTGTGATCAAGTCTGACCACCAGGTGCACTGTCTCTGGGGCCTCCCAGGAGATGCAAAGTCAGCCTCTGCCAGTGCCTTGTCCAGGGCCACCCAGCATGAGCTACACAGCAAACCGTAGTTGGCTGCTACTTGTGCTGGGCTTGGCATTGTCTAGGAGAGGCCAAGCTATGAGCCAATGCAGGCTGCCGCTAGTGCCAGGCCTGGGGCCACTTATCAAGCCGTATGGGGCAGCTGCTGCTTGTTTGAGAGATTTTGGGAAAGTCCTAAGCATGAGGCTCTAGAGGCCACTTGCACAGAAAAGCCCCTGGAAATGGCCTGGATGAGCTGCAGGTGGGGAGGGGCGGGGCCTCCGGGAATCACGGGGCGGGGCCAAAGGTGTGAGTCAGGTGCTGGCGACTCAAACATGGCGCCTGCCTGCCAGCTCTGTGTGGAAGGAGGACTCGCCAAAGGAGCCATGGCCTCCGCCAGCCCTTCCGCCTGGGAGGAAGC